CAGTTCATCTAATGACAGGCAATTGAACCACACGAGGCAGTGAGGTGATCAGAGCTCTGGGCTGGTTCTGATCCCAGCTTTGGCACTTTCTAGCTTGAGAGAGCTTGGGGCAAATGACTCAACCTCTCTGGGCTTCAGATTCCTCATCTGTATAATGGGGGCCACAATATCTGCTTTAAAAGTGTTATTTTAAGGAATCATTAAAATGGTGACTGTAATATATCTATTATTGTACTTGCACAAGAATATGCTTGAAAAATATTTATCCCTGACCTCTATTGCCTCCCTTCTCCTTCCTTTCACTGCTGCCTTCACCTTCCCACTCCTTCTTGGCTCTTCACCACACCAAGGAAAATGGCTGCAGGCCTGGTGCAGGAGATCACCACATGTGCAGGCTGTTGGTGTTTGACTGCAGATTCACTGTCCACACTTTGTGTGCTGCCTTAGATCCTCTTCTCCTAGCCTCTCTCTCAGGCCCTTGGCCACTGGCTCTTGGAAAGTCCTGGACACTTCTGCAACCCATACTTCAGTCTCTACCACTGTTGTCTCTTTTCTTGGGATGTCCAACTGTCTCTCCCATGACTCCGTCACTGGGCTTCAGCTACCTCCATTGTAGTCACCACAGCAGAAGCCCAGACCAGACCGCATGGGACCCAACTGCTTCTAGATCTGAAAAAGGACCGTGGGACCAGACATAGATTCTGACTTCCCCAGTAGCTGTCTAAAGGGATCAGACGATACGACTTCCTGTGAGTAAACTTTGTCCACAGGAGCATGTCCACAGGAAAATGGCACGGCATGGCGCACACATTCTTCCCCCCTCCTTGCTCCAGTAGCTACTCCAAGTGGCCCACCCAGAGATCTCTCTGAGGTTGAATGACCGGTTATACCCAGTGAAGTGGCATCCTGCTCAGTAAAGTATCACTTTAGTGACGGTGGTGGTGGTGGTGGTGGTGGTGGTGGCAGGGGCTTCCGTGCTTCCGTGTCTCCTTTTCCCTTTCCCTTCACTCTTGCATCTGAGAATTCCATTTCCCAGTAATGCACTAGCACTTAGGCAGTGCTTAGTTTTAAGGTTTTGAGGAAACCTGTGAACTACACTGTCCGGGCTTTCTTGCCAATGTCTTCTGGATGAAGTTGGCCAAATGCAGGGACCTAGTGAGAGACTCAAGCGAGGGAGAGAGGGGAAGTCAAGGTATCCTCCCCTCCCCGCTTCAGGGGGCAGTTCAGGAGCAGCTGTGACTCCTCCCTGTGTCCCTCTGGCCTGGGGTGAGGATGATTCTTGCTGTTACTCAGCTCTGCGGTGGCTTGGTGTCCTCTTTTACTTTTATAACCAATCTATCAAACAACCTGGCAAGGGTTCTTTTTTCCCTGACTGAACCCTGACTAATAAAGCACACAACAATAAAAAGTTTGATTTTACTTAACTGTGTTTCTGGAATGGTTAAAAAGAAATTTCTGCTTTTATAAGACATTATATGTAGATTTCTAAGAATCGATAACATAAGAAAACTACTTTTAACTACTTCAAGGGAAATTACCATAAGAAAGCTCTATGGGTTATCGTTTAAAAAGTCAAATAATTTATTTTAGCATTTTAAATGGCATTCTATATTTAAAATGAATAATCCCTTTCTAAGCATTATGCTTTCCAGTGAATACCAGTGCAAGTCCTATAATCACCTTCTATGTTGCCTCTCTCCTGTCTTTGTGGTGGCTACTGAGGGATCTGGCTCTTTGCATCCTGGGCCTGGTGGGTGGCAAATTGGTGGTGTGAGAATATAAGTGCGATCATTTGGTAAATGGGATTCAGATTTCATTTGTTTGCATACCTCCCATGGTGCTTATGGGTAACAAACAAACATTCCACACCCCCCCCCACCTCCACTCCAGGTGCCATTGAGAACAGGCATATTTTCTTCCTGCAGGGTACACAATATTTCTAAAATTAGACCCCGAGAGATTTGCATTTATAGCGAGTGCTCTGTAATGGCTCCGCGATGATTTCTGGGATCTCCTTCAATAACAAACACTGCATGGGCGTAATGCAAACGTGAAGCCAGAAATACTTTAGTATCTAGGCATAGAGATGTATGACAGCCTTTCCTGTGAACCTGGGGAGGAAAGGCCTTTTTTCTGAAAGGTACAAATGGGAATCCACATGGTACGCGAGCCCCCATTCATGGCCTACAAGTAACCACAGTAACAGCAGGGAATTGTGGAAGGGGGCTGGAGTTCAGGGAATCTTTGGAATGATTTGTTTTCTCTTGCCACGGTTTGTTTGTTTGATTGTTTTTCTTATACTCTGAAAAACACCAACTTTGTAGTTCCATAACGTTTTATAGTACTTGTTTGCAGCATAGACAATGTTCCCACCCAAGCTGGAAAGGCCTGAGTCACACATGTGATACCCCTTGATTCACATTGTCCCCGCAGTATGACCTCTGTCTCAGATGTCCCATTTTCCCCGCCATCCAGAAAGGATGACAAAATTAGAGTCCAGTGGTCTGGCATCTCATAGCAACAATTAGGAAGCTTTGGGCCTCTGGAGTTTAAACCATCAGACAGCCTCATATGGAAGAATTCTATTGGGACAAGAATCAGAAATGGGATTCCTGGCGAGCAGCCTTGCTGACCTACAGCCTGTACACATTGGATTGGCTGCAACCATGCTTACACTGCTGAAATACTTCTGCCCAGAGTGCAAACTCATGGTATCTTCGAGCTTCCTGAATGCCCCACACTACTCCTGCCTTACAGGACTCCTTGCCCAAATCTTCCCACCATTCAAGGACTAACTCTCGGCTTGGTGGGATGCCTCCAGCACCTTCTCACAGAGCCAAGAAGGAGTCCATTCTGATCAGTTAGTTGGCATGGCAATTATTAAGTACTTTTAATATCACATCTGGGGGCACCTGGGTGGCTCAGTTGGTTGAGCATCCGACTTAGGCTCAGGTCATGACCTCATGGTTCATGGGTTCGAGCCCACATAGGGCCCTGTGCTGACAGCTCAGAGCTTGGAGCCTGCTTCAGAGTCTGTCTCCCCCTCTCTCTCTCTCTGCCCCTCCCCCACTCGCGCTCTCTCTCTCTCTCTCTCTGTCTCTCAAAAATAAATAAATATTAAAAAATTTTAGGGGCGCCTGGGTGGCGCAGTCGGTTGAGCGTCCGACTTCAGCCAGGTCACGATCTCGCGGTCCGTGAGTTCGAGCCCCGCGTCGGGCTCTGGGCTGATGGCTCAGAGCCTGGAGCCTGTTTCCGATTCTGTGTCTCCCTCTCTCTCTGCCCCTCCCCCGTTCATGCTCTGTCTCTCTCTGTCCCAAAAATAAATAAAAACGTTGAAAAAAAAATTAAAAAAAAATTTTTAATATCACATCTGCATAGAAAGAACAAGATACTTAAGACTAGGGTGAATAAAACTAATGTAACATTGTGTGTCAACTATATTCTGATTTAAAAAATCATAAAATGCAATCAATCAGACAAACCAACTAGGGTAAATTATCTCAGAAGTTTGTTTCTTCCTCAAAGTGGTTGGGATCCCTGAGAGTTGGAGTCCATCAGGACAGCTCTTCAAAAGATGTTACAGCTTGGGGCGCCTGGGTGGCTCAGTTGGTTAAGCATCCAACTTTTGATTTTGGCTCAAGTCATGATCTTGCAGTTTGTGAATTCAAGCCCCATGTCAGGTTCTGCTCTGACAGTGACAGTGTGGAGGCTGCTTGGGATTTTCTCTATCCCTGTGTTTCTGTCCCTCCCCCACGTGCACTCTCTCTCTTTCTCTCTCTCTCTCTCTCTCTCTCTCTCTC